AGGCCATAAGCGTCTATATGCCAAGGTCAAGTGGCAGACCTTTTTTAATTAAATTCAAATATCGTGGCAATTAACTGGTTAATTGTTCAAGATTCAGCTGTCTGCATGCAGGCTACCAGCAGTAAATATTTCAGAGATACAGCAGGGCTTGTGTGGCTGGGGATGAGGATCAGGCAAGAAAGAAATACTGAGCCCAGCTGGCATGGGGTCAGTGTAGGCCTGTGAGCCAGGAGGTCACGGCTCAATTCAGGTTGCGGGGCTCAGTCCCACCCAGGCTCAGTCCCAAGTTGGGTGTGCAGGAGGCAGCCCCTCAATGATTCTCTCTCATCATTGATGTTTCTATCTCTCCCGCTCCTTTCCTCTCTGAAATTAAAAAGAAAAGAAAAGAAAAAAGAGTGGCATCCCAAAAAGCAAGAATGCTTGTCAGGCAAGCAACTTCAAGACAAATCCTTCTGCCCCTCCAAAGAGACTGGACACCCTCAAGGTCTCCTTGATTAGAAGAAAATCAGAAGCCCCTCTACTGTTGAGCATTACTATGAAAAGCAGCATCTGCTTCCATACCCTGCCTGCCTGGAGGGACTGGAGCGTTTGCTGTCGCTGGAACGGGAGATACTGTCTGGGACAGTAAGGCCTGCTGAGACCGTTCCTGGGAACAGGTCTAATGGGATCATGGCTTTGTCCTCTCTCCACCCTCTGGCTTTGGGGAATTGTTCCCAAGACTTGGAAACCCAAGAAAGACCCCAAGAGAGGGAGTCAAATCTAGCCATTGAACAGGTCCAGAGTGAGGCAGGAAGTCCTCCAAGATTACATGGCAAATCGGCGCTGGAGCTGGGACCCAGACCCAGCCTTCTTGATCTGGGAATCTCTCCTTCACCTTAGGTGAGTCTCCATGCTCACCTGAAAGGAACAAACCTGAGGAGATGATCTCTGAGGCCAGGGGTGCTGAGCCCAGGACCAAATCCAGGCAGGAGGCTGCTGTTCCAGCCTGGAGCCTCCACGCTCCTGCCTACCTTGTCTCTAGCTTCAGGGATTCCCGTTTTTTATGGGGAGAACACTGGCCCAGGACAGACTGGGCAGAGGCTAGTGTTCCTGAGCCTGGAGGAGATATCCAGAAATAGATGGGGGAGTGTCACCTTTCTGAGCAGCTGTGTGGGGGAGGTACAGTATAAAGGAGGAACCTGCCCGCCCCCTCCCCCGGCGGCCATCACAGGAGACCAACACCAGCTTCCCTGCCCTGGAGAAGCCCTAGGTAAGGGGCACACCACCCTCTCCCGGCACTGGGCAGGGTATTTTTTAGGGGAAATTTGGGGTTTTAATGGTGGAGTTTTACGAATCATTGGGACAAGTTTTAGGGAATCTTTTACCTTAGTCGGCTGTATCTGTCTCTCCTACTTCTGAAGGCTGGAAGTCCAAGGTCAGGGTGCTAGCACCATCAGGTGAAGGCTCCCCTCCTGGATCACAGCCCATACCTTTTCACTGTGCTCACAGGGTGGAAGGGAGCTCTGTGGGGTCTCTTTTATTAGAACACTAATCCCATTCAAGTAGGCTCCACCCTCAGGAACTAATCACCCCCCAAAGGCTCCACTTTCTAATACCATCACACGGACATTAGGATCCCAACATGTGAATTTTGGGGGGACACAACATTCAGGCCATAGTACCTTTTCTTGAGAGGTTTGGAACCACTGGGGAATTTGGGGGTTCCTGGGGAGACATATAAACTCACATCCCCAGAGAGGATTGTTCAGCAAGGGCCTGAATAAGGGGAAACTGACAAGAAGTGTTCTGAGCAGATGAGGACAGAAGGGCAGCTGGGATATGAAAAAGGGCTGCCTGGTGCCTCCACTTCCTTGACTCCCAAGCCTCCCAGTTACTCTGGCCCCCCACTCCATTTGCCCACAACACTGGTCCCCAAAGTCATTGATCCACCTGCTTGCAGTGGTCTGCCTTGCTAGTTGCACCCAGAGAGCCTCTCAGATTCTCAGCATGCATCACATGCCTCTTGAAATTACTCCAGCTCCATTTCCACTTCAAAAGAACTTAAAGAAGCAGGGGTGTGGGTTTTGTTGTTCATAATTTTTTTTTATCCTTGCCTGAGGATATGTTTATTGTTGAGAGAGAGAGAGAGAGAGAGAGAGAGAGGGAGAGAGGAACATCGATGTGAGAGAGAACATCAATTGGTTGCCTCCTGTACATGCCCCCTATCAGGGATCTAACCCGTAACCTAGATATGTGCCCTGACTGGGAATATCTACAACCTTTTTGGTGTACGGACAACACTCTGACCAACTGAGCCACCCAGCCAGGGCTGCTGTTCATAATTTTATCCTCAGTGCCTGATACATTACAGATGCTCAAAATTTTTTTGTTGAGGGAGAGAAGATAATGAATTCAGTTTGGGACATGCTGACCTTGATAAATATTGATGCTAGCTCTACTGCCCAGAGAAGCTCAGGCCTCAATTTAAATTGTACATTGGCAAGATGTAGGATCTTATATTTGGAGAGTCATAACATTATAAACACATAGAATCCCAGTGTCTTAGAGTCAATGAACTGTCCAAACTTAGGCCCCACCAAGAGCCAGAGGGGAAGATGGAGCAGAGATGCTTAACCTGAGTGACACTGGGGCCGAGGCATAACCACCTGAAATTTATAAAACATTTTGTGATTTTTAAAAATATATTTTTTATTGATTTCAGAGAGGAAGGAAGAGGGAGAGAGAGATAGAAACATCAATGATGAGAGAGAATCCGGCTCCCTACTGCACGCCACCCCCACACTGGGGGATCGAACCCACAACCCAGGCATGTGCCCTGACTGGGAATTGAACTGTGACCTCCTGGTTCATAGGTTGATGCTCAACCACTGAGCCACACCGGCCGGGCAATTTGTGAAATATTCGTGTGAAGAATATTTCACACGAACATTCTTGGCTTAGCTTTCATCAGATTCTCAGTCTTAGCTTTCATCAAATTCTTAAAGATAAAGAACCACTGACTGCATTATCATTTGTGCAAAAGAAGGGAAGCAGAAATGCCTGTGGATTTGCTTGTGTGTGCGTAGTGTACTTCTGGAAGGATACACAAACAGTCACATTGGTTGCCTCTGGGAGATGAGGCTGGAATTAGGGAGTTAGTGAGAAAAACACATTTCACTGTATGCCTTTGGACTATTGAAATTTTGAACAATAAAAATGTACTACCCTTTAGAAAAGTAAGTAAAAACTATAAAATTAAAGTTATAATTGATCCTATTAGTGAGAAGAGATATTAATTAAAAAGCAGATACCATTTATGCCCACCAGTTAAGTGAAACTTAAAGAGAGATTAACAATTTGTTTGCGGGTAGTTTTTATCACGCGCTAACAGGTGGCGAGGGCCATTTTTGCTAATTTTTTGCGCAAATGGCAACGTTCAGTAAA